ATGACAATTTAACTAACTAAGGCATGGGAAAATAAAAATCAGAGAATATGAGCCATTCTATAACAATGTCTACTGGTTATGCAAATCTTTTCAATAAAGTTTAATTTATTGGAGCAGAGCTCTTCTAAAGGCAAAATGGCACTAAAAATATAACCAACTGCTGTGCGTGATTGTAACAGCTATTGAGGTCATATGGGGAAACTTGAATGTGGATCACTAGCAGGTGTTGATGTGTCCTTAATTCTATTAGGGCTAATAATTTTACTGAGGCTACGTGATGTGCCCTCCTTGCTAGAAAACAACTACATACCATCAGGACAGCACCATGATCACTTGCAAGTGAATCTTCCAGAAAGGGAGAGAAAAATCACAGGCAATAAAATGTTTGGGCTAGTTGTTTGAGCTATGCATATGTTCTTGGGATGTTTATATGACCTTTTCTTAAGTTTTGTGACTGCTAGAAATTTTTTATAATAAAAAGCTGGTGAAGGGGAAAAAGTGTATTCTCACCATCAAATTGTTTAAATGAGTCACCAACTTTATTCATATTTACCTTACTAAACTAAGGAAGTGCTTCCATTCTGTGCAGAAGTGGTTAAGGGAATGCATGAAGGGCTAATGACAAAGGCAGAATGATACCGTGGGAAAAGACAAGCGTAGGATTTAAGGTATTCCCTCACTATGTTTATAGAACTCTACAATGCTGCAAGGTACATATTTATTTATTGGAGAAGAGCTTTCACACACAAAGACACATCTCTCACTCCAGGCCATTTTGACAGCTGAACTTACGAAGATATGTGTCATATATTGCAGGACTGAAACTACAGAGGAAGCAATAGGCACATTCCCATGGTTGATGTATCTGAATCAGGTACTAGACAGATGTCAAAAACATGGGAGGACCCATAAAACAAATTCACATGAAGCACAGCTATCTTCATTAGGATTTTTATTGCTATGATAAAATGTCATGACCATACACAACTTGGGGAGGAGGGGGCTTATTTTGCTTACACTTCCTCCTCCTCCTCTATCATTGAAGGAAATCTGAGTAGGAAACTGGAGGCAGGAGCTAATGCAATGGAGAGACCACTTACTGGTTTGTTCATCATGGTTTGCTCAGTCTTCATTCTTATAGCACCCAGGATCACCAACCTGTGAATTGACAACACTCAGAGTGGGGTTGGACCCTCCCACATTGTTCATCAAGAAAATGCAGTACAGACCAATTTGTTGGGGGGGGGGTTATTGTCCCAACTGAGGTTTCCTCCTACAAAATGACTCTAGCATGTGTCATGTTGACACAAAACTAGCCAGCACACGATCTCAATGCAGTATTTATTTAGGTCTAATTAGATCCTTTGGACCCTCAGCACAGCTGTACATCGTTGTTAAGAGCTGGTTTTTCTGAGTATGAGTACATTTCCTAGATGGGGCCCTGAATTGACATTTACTATCTCCAATGGCTCATTATTATCCCTTTCTAGTAGATTCCCCTTGCTTTCTTTGGCCTTTGTCAGGTTAAGGAGAACGTGTGATGAAGGAAGGGAAATGCCCAGGGAATGAAGGGAAGTACTTGAAGGGCCTGTGTGAGCTAGTAGACACCCTCACAAGCAACTACAGTTGGCTTGTGTATGACACAATGTATGTATACAAGATCCTGTATTTGACCTCTTAAGAGGATCTTAGGCTTACTAACAAACAGTACATAAAATGTGACTTTGGGTGAATCTCTGTACAAACTGCTCTTCCATGTTATCCAGGATAGTTTTATCATGTAGGTTTAGCTAGACACCCCAGAGATATTTTTCATGTGTTGTTATTGAGCATATTTATGGATTGATGACTGCAAACCCGTTGTCCCCATCAAAGAGAAGTTTGTGAAAGGGACAAAAACTACTGTTTGCTATGCATTTGCAGTTGGTAAAATTCCTTTTACATGTGTTATTTCATTACATATGGCATTTGTGAGAAGTCAGTAGTATGCTTGCCTCACAGATGTAGAACCAAAGGTTCAAGAAAGAGAAGCATTTCTGAAATACTCAAGGAGCAGACTGAACTATAATCCATGCCTCCATATATGAGCCTGCTAATTCCAGCCTTAAAATCCACATGAAACCATAACCAATGCCTACCCCAGTCTCAGAGTATGTTCTTCAACTTGGAGCCCTTAGCACATGCCTGAAAAAAATGAAGGAAGGCCCTCATGAGTTAAGGTCCAGTTTATTGGAAGTTATTTGAGGAAGCTGTCTTTGTAGCAGCCAGAGAAAGAAGGGTTCTGCAATCATGGAGTCTGGGCTACAATCCAAATCTATTCATGAGTGGTGCAACCCTTGGCTAGTTGTATAACCACATGAGCTTCCTTGTGAATCCTCTGGACTATAGAGTATTGAATAAAAATAAGGCAGGGAAGTTAGGTAATGACAACTGGCACTTTATCAGTGTGTGCTCATCATAAGGCTTCGTGACATTTTTCTGATTCCTTGGTAGCCCCAAATATCTAAGCACCCACCTGGGAGCAATCATTCTTATGTCCATCACCAGCTACATTAGGAGTTGTGTGTATTTTTTAAACTTACAACCAAAATTGAATGCTTTCTGTAGTCTGAAAATGCAGTTCAGTGGATATTTATATGATGTCTCCTGTCTTTAAGAAACACATGGTTTATTCTCCAAGTAGTTCTGAACATAATAAGTTGCTGAAGTAGGAAGATAAATTTATAGTAAGATCACTTGGATTCATTTCTAGAGACCTATACTTTGAGAATCAGCAATCTGAGAAGACCACTCCAGCCTCAACCCTCGCTTGTTCTCCCTATCTTGTTTGGTCCAACACATCTTCTCTGTCATACCTGAAACTGTTTTTACTAACATCTCAGATATGAGTTTCTTTCCTCACTGAATGTAGTACCTGTTATTTGAGATTGTGCTTGACCCAGAAAGGACTATATATGCTTAGAGAAGATGGTGGATTTTCTTATTGAACTCTTTCCTAAGTAGACACTGGCAATCAACATTAACTCTAAATTCAAGGTAAGTGCAAATACCAAGGATAATCTCTCAGAATATCCATAAATCAAGGTAGGTTAATGGAAATGGCCTGCTCTGTCTTGAAAAATCTTCTAGATAAACTAAAAGCCAATCCTGTAAGAAGCACTCTCCCTCTCACTTAGGTCTAGGGCCAGGCCATTTGCTAAGGTGACACCTTGTAGCACTCACCATGCTGCAGCCTTGTGTTTACCTCCCTCCCAGGTCTCAGAGCTCCACAGGCTTCCTTTATGGTGTAGACTGTAACTCAGCATCTTTAAAACACGTTATTTCAACATGACTTCCCTTTTCTTATTCCTCCCCTTCTGAAGTGGAAATATTTACAGTGATGATTTGGGAGCACAGTTCTTCTATTTCTATCTCCTCTCACTGGAAATTCATGGCAGGACAGGGCTAACAGCAAGGTGACACCCCTTATGTTGTTTGACATCCCCAGTAGGACATCTCCAAATGAATTCTTGACTGGTTTAAAAAGAAAAGTCTTGAAAGACTATTCTTTTTCAGACTCAGTTTTTGTCTTTTGCAGAGAATGGAAAAGTATGTGCTATCACTTGGATTTTAGGACTCAGACCCTGAAGTCCTGATGTGGAGCCAACCTCTGCCTCCCTTATTACTAACTGTGGTTTAATTAGCCTTACTTTCTTCAGTAAGATGGGCATCTCTTATGAAACTTCAATGACTTCCTGCCTACTGGGCACTGAGGATTTGCACAGGGATAGCATTGTGTTCATCATTACAGTGGGTATTCTGTTGAGGTGTTCTGGTGTAAGTATAGGTTTTATATGCTCTATATCTAATGGTTCCATGAGATTATGGTGTAGGATTATTAAAGTATGATGGAAGAAAACTATCAAAAATCAGGATAATGGGAAAATATAAAATCATTTAACTTTTTTTTTTTTAAAGCTGGCTGTTCCAAGCACAGCCTATTCTAGTTGTAAAGACCTGGAGAACAGAAGGGAGACTTATGTTCGTGATTAGCTAGCTAGATGACCCCCCCCCCATGAAACTATGTGGTATTTGCTGTTTCAGTATAAAATATCAGTACCTGGCTCATCTCTCTCAAAAATTACTGTAGGGAGCAGGCATAAAGACAATGGAGGCTTTATTTGTAGTACAATATTTTTCCTATAGTCTTACTTTGTTTGTCCTTTTTAAAATTTATTTATTTTTAATGTATTTTTAATCCATTTCCTATTTATTTATTTATTTATTTCCCAGATGACACAATGCAGTGTCATCTGGGAAAAAATGGCCTGCAGGCAAGTTTGAGAGGGATTTATTTTCTTGATTAATGAGTGGTGTGGGAGGGCCCAGCCCACTGTGGGTGGTGCCAGCCCTGGGCAGGTGGTCATGGATTGTATAAGAAAGCAGGTTAAGCAAGCTATGGGGAGAAACCCAGGAAGCAGCTCTCTTCCATGGTCTCCACTTCAGTTTCTGCCTCAAGTTCCTGCCTTTAATTCCTGTCTTGACTTCCCTCCATGAGGAACTGAAAGCTGTAAGGTAAATTAAACTCTTTCTGCACAAAAGTACAAAGGTCATGGTCTTCGTCACAGCAATAGAAAGCGAACTAGGACACTACAGTAGAAAAAATGACTGGACCAGGTGTCCAAAGTCTTAGTTTACTTATGTAAGGCTGAGTGAGTCACAAAAGGATTCATGAGTGGGGACAAAGGATAACTCCAAAGTTATTCTTACCACCTATGGCCTACCTATCAACCAGATTAGCTGAAAAAGAAAATCCTACAAAGTAACATGTTTCTTGTTAACACTAAATGTTCTCAGAGTCATCGTTTATACAATTTACAACTCAGCAGTTGTGACAGCTTCTGCTAAGGCACATAAGTTGAAACCAATGTCTCAAATATAAAACCCTTGTACTCAGTGATGTGTGCACTGCAGTTGTTGTATGGAAACAGACTTTTCTTTCAGCTGCTTTTCTCCTTAGGAGGTCAGCACTTTCTTCAATCAGTCATCATGAATGCACTGGCAGACACAGCCGTGTTTTTTGGAAAATTTCTATATTACTTTTTAGAATCTGTAGTCTTCAAGATCATTCCTAAAAGGAAAAAGGATGTTTCTGGAGAGATCGTACTTATAACAGGAGCTGGAAGTGGACTTGGAAGGCTTCTGGCCATGCATTTCGCCAGCCATGGGGCCATTTTAGTTCTCTGGGATATTAATCAAGAAGGCAACATGGAAACATGTAGATTGGCCAAAGAGAAAGGAGATGTGAAAGTCTTTGCCTACAAGTGTGACTGCAGCAACAGGAAAGAGGTGTACAGGGTCGCCGACCAGGTGAGCTTATTGCTGTCTTTTGCTTTGGTTCTGAGAAAATTGCCTCTAGCCTGCCTTTTGCTAATACCGGAGGGAGTGATTTGTTATAGGTTCTCCCAAAGAGTGTTGTGTCCTTTCAGTTTAATTCTCTTGGTCTTAAACATGACTTCATGGCCTCCAAAAAGCAGCAAGCATAGCCCAAAACGTAGTAGGGTTTGGTCCCGCTTCAGAGCAGAGTACTATCCGATTCACTTGCTTAGTAACTCACCCACTTCAGAGCCCATCCTACCTGTCAACTTTGCTTAGTGAATCACACAACATCCTTGGTTGCTAGACACTTTGTCAAACCCCAGCTCTTCTGCTTTAGTTGTGCAACTTTTACCAAGCTACTTAGCTTTCTACACCCTTGTTTCCACACCCGTGAAATGAAACACTAGTGGTTGGCAAGATCATATGCAGCTTTAACTTCCTATTGCTTCGTGACTTTCATGACACTGAAATCCCATCCCATCTTATGGCAAGTCTATTGACATATTATGATTGTTGAGCATAGTATATGGAGTAAGAGGGGGTAAGCACTCAGTGTACAAAGTTCTTCTCACAGATTACCTACCGGTATTGTCTAACTTCAGGTGGGGTGTTCCACTTTACCCAAGTCCCCTTTGGCAGACACAGAGTGAACAGCACACAGGGAACCACCAATGGAAATAGCAATGTGGCAGGGATCAAGAAGAAGGGAAACTGAGGGCAGACATCTTTATTATTTCCACAGGAAAGAGCAGGCACATTTAGTAACTGGATAATCGCCATCATTTCAAAGGGCTATGTGTCGTAAGGACATCTTGGTATTCTAGTCGATGACTAGACCATGGCTACTAGACCATGGGAATCCTATTAAGGGAAACAGTTGGTCTTATAAGACTTTCTCAAAAGGGGTAATGTACTGGCTCTAGCCACAGTCACAAAGCTGGTTGAAGATTACAATTTTAAGCGATTTGTGCACCTAATAACTCAGTTAATCCCCGCACCTCAACCTTTGGAAATGTATGTTGTTACCACCATTCCTGTTAAAAAAAAAAAGATGTTAAAGCCAAAGAGCACTGAACATACAACTCACCCAAGATCACCAGGTAGAACCTGGCAAGAGATAGAATCATAGCTGGAAGCCACAAGGCACATATCGTTTGATCACAGAATCTCCAAGAGATTTCTTTGCAATCCAATTTCTATTTGCAGAATTCATTTTTTGATTTATTAAATATTAATTATTGAGTTCTCACACAGTGATATTTTCCAAACCTCTCAATACTTCTTTGCTTTCTTCTTCCTCTTTCTTTGGGGACCCACAGGATTTGTGTGTTTGTAACTCACTGGTAGATACCAACAACCTGGGCATCATAGTTCCCTGCATCCATTTTGGTACAGAACATGGGAAATCAAGATTTGTCCTCATTTTACAAAAAAGGAAATGAACTTGGTAGGAAGAGCTCCCTGCAGAATGCATTTGGAGTGAACTTAATGTAATCTGTTTTTTTCAGGGGCTCATGTCTCAGAACCAGGCACTATCCAGCTCAGGGTGGCTGGGAGGTCTTTGCTTCTGTCTCTGATTGTATGTAAACTTCACAATGAAACAGGAACTATCCTTTGGATACTTTGCCAGTGGTGAAATGGAGGGAGGGAGAACTGAAGGAAATTTACAGACCTTAAGTGATCCTAGAAGCCCTGTTACTTTATCACATGAGCGTTGTCATCGAACTGTAAATAAACAATGAGAACATCTCCCAACCTTCCTCTATGCTAAAAAGCACCATCGTCTGCTACACCACCACCCCAACCCCCCTACAAAGGATTCTGTTCTGGTTAAAATTTCCTTGTGTCCAGTAGGAAAACACCCTAAAAATTTGACAATATTTGCCATTGGAATATATCTGAAATGTCCCTTCTTTGACACTCTCTTACATGTAAGCTTCTTCTAAGTTTACAACTCTATCTTGGTTTTGGCTTAATTGTAGGCAGTTATTAAGTACTGGGAAGCCCAATGCTTTATCTGTAAGATGTTAACAAATGCAAGATATCAGCCTCAGCCTTGAAATGAGCTCACACTCAGCAGGCAGCGTTCCAAAGGGCACAGTAATTAGCTTTCCACAGGCAGAGGAAGCAAGAATTTTCAATCCCAGCATGCAAAGTTAACAAATACAGTCAAACACTACACACATGCTCATAATTGCTGCATCGAGAAGGTTGAGGCAGGAAGATTGTGAGTTCTGGGCGAAATGAGGCTATAATCTTGGTCATGAAGAAGAGTGAATTTATGTAAAAGCAGGTATCATATGTGCCTTCAGCTTGCATGTGAATCAAGGTTCTCTCAGCAGTGAGTCTTTTGGAAGGTTCTTAATTTCCCATAGCCTATTTTCTCACCCATGAGCTAAAATAGTGCCTTCATAAATGTCTTCTCAAACATTAAATCCCATAATCTAGACATTTCTCCTCTTGTTGCAGTGTCCCTCAGAGGGGGGACTTACTCTTGGAGTGACCTGAGTGACCATTCATTCCCTAAGATGTTACAGATTTTACACAAAAGATTTCACCTCCTTCTCCCCATTTTTGACCAGGCATCCCTCCCTGGTCTAGGACTGAGCCCTTATTTACATTCATTGTCCCACTAAACAAGCAAGATGTCCATAGTCTCTCACAGACTAAGTCCTACCTTTCTCCACCACCCAGTCATCATCCCATCACCAAATCACCATCATTAAAGCTCCCTTTAATAACCCACCTCTCTTTACCTATATCAACAATGTTTCCAAAGCCTCCAACTGGTAGGTTTAACTTATAGCATGAACCAAGAATTAGAAGAGTCAGAGTAGACAATGCTTCTTGTCTGGAGGAAGGAAAGAGTAGCTGTATCTGCCAAAAGATTTGATTCAGGATATAGTCATTACTTAAACTGTTTCAGCTTTGTTACTGTGACTTACACAGTTATACTCTGACTCAACATGGTAGGAAAGAGAAAGTTTGCTTAGTGTTTCCTGGAACATGCTATGTTCCCAACAGGACTCATGCGTTTACTGGGTTATGTAAGCAAGTGAAGTGGGTTATGTGGGAGGGAAGAGATGAGAGCTTGTAACAGCACCAGTAGAAGATAGCATTTAGATTACAGGCCATTTCTGTGGGGCTGCAATCAGAACCAGCCAAGCAGCCCTGGGTCCATACCCCAGTCAGGAAGTGTGGATGAGTGAAAGGCTAGCTAAGAGAATTAAGAGAGAGAAACACAGGATAGTTGTCAGGAGAGCAGATTCAGTCCATACTGATGCCCTGTTTATTTCATACCTCCAAACTTAAGTAATCAACCAAAGGAGGGGTTAACCGCAGAGAACTCCTATTACCATGTATAAAGGGCAAATAGCAATTACTTCTCCTAATCCCAAAGGCACTCCATAACTGCATGTACTCTCTGCCTTCAGGATGAGTGTGAAGCTGTCTGGGCCCAAGCCTATTGTTATTTAGAGAAGAGCCATTCACCACCAAGGCCCAGGCAGCCTGTAGCCAGTAGCCAGTGAACTAAATGTCTCTAGGACAATAAAAATGCTCTGAGCTCTCTGAACATGTGGCAATAAGGAATGCATTCCATAGATGGTCCTGACAATCACTGAAGTCTCTGGGCATTGGATCAAACACATCATTGTATGCAGTGTCTTCATTCCAAGTACTGACTTGGTCTAGTCAAACAGGAGTCAAGGAAATGATGCTGAAAGAATTAATCATCAGGTATCCACAGACTGACAGTAAGCCCTGGCTACGAGAAGGAAAATGCTCAGAGATACACAGGCAGAGAGTCCTCACACTCCATCGTCACTAAAGACCAGCGGGGGGGGGGGGGGGGAACGGAGCAAGGAGATGAAGCAAGTGGGAAACGGGCTGCACTGGGCCTGTGGGCCACCAGCCCAATACCCGGGAAACAACCGTGAGAGGATCCCAGGAACGGGCCCGCTCTGGATGACAGAGCAAGAACAACATCCATCTAAGCAACGAAGGGAAGCATCACAGGAAAAAGAGGGCTGGCAAAGCAGCTTGGGAGTAGACCCAGGGTTCAATCCTCAGTATCAAAGAATAAAGAAAGAAAGAGAGATAGAGGGAGGGAGAAGAAGAGAGATAGAGACACACAGAGAGAGAGGATTACTGCCCTATATAGCAGGCCATCTTCTGGAGGAAATCATATTAGCGTAATTGATCATAGGATTACTTTTAAATTGCTGATTCTTTAACATTTATTTTTAATAAATATTTTTCTTATTTTACATAGCGATCCCTGTTCCTTCTCCCTCCCACCCTCCCATGCCCCCAGCAGACCCCCATCTCATCCCACATCCACTCCCCAGGGAGGGTGAGGCCTTAAATGAGCGATCGTCAGAGCGATCGTCAAAGTCTGTCAAATAATTTGGGGTAGGGCCTAGTCCCTCCCGCATGTCTCTAGGCTAAGGGAGTATCCCTCCATGGGGAATGGGCTTCTGATGTCCGTTCCTGCCTGAGGGATACATCCTGCTTCATTGCCAGAGGCACCATAGACTTCCCAGGACTTCTAACTGAGACCTGCATTCAGGGGGTCTGGGTGGGTCTCATGCTGGCTTCCCAGGTATCATTATGGGGTCCATTAGCTCCCCCTTGTTCAGGTCAGCTGTTTCTGTGGGTTTCTCCAGTCTGGTCTTGACCCCTTTGCTCATCACTTCTCCCTCTTTGCAACTGGATTCCAAGCATTTGGCTCAGTGGCTGTCTGCTTCTGCTTCCATTAGCTACTGGATGAGGGCACTAGGATGGCATATAAGGTAGTCATCAATCTCATTATCTCATTATCGAGGAAGAGCATTTAAGGTAGCCTCTCCACTATTACTTAGATTGTTAGTTGGGGTCATCCTTGTAGGTCTCTGGACATTTCTCTAGTGAGAGATTTCTCTTTAAACCTATAATGGCTCCCTCTATTATTATATCTCTTTTCTAGTTCTTTCTATTCTTCCCCCAACTCAATTTTCCTGCTCCTCATTTTCTCCTCTCCCCTCCTCTTCTCCCCTTCTCTTTCTCCTAATTTCTTTTTCTCCTCCCCTGCCTGCTCCCTATTTGCTCAGGAGATCTTGTACCTTCTCCCTTCTATAAGGGACCATATATGCCTCCCTTAGGGTCCTCCTTGTTTCCTAGCTTCTCTGGCAGTATGGATTGCAAGCTAGTGATTATTTGTTCTATATCTAAAATCCATATATGAGTGAGTGCATACCATTTTTGTCTTTTTATGATTGCCATACCTCACTCAAGAGTGGTTTCTTCTCATTCCATCCATTTGCCTGAGAATTTCAAGATTCCATGTTTTTTCCCCTGCTAAATAGTACTCCATTTTGTAAATGTACCACATTTTCTTTATATATTCTTCAGTCCAGGGATATCTAGGTTGCGTCCAGGTTCTGGCTATTGCAAATAATGCTGCTATGAACATAGTTGAACAGATGTCTTTGTTGCACAAAAGTGCACCTTTTGGGTATATGCCTAAAAGTGGAATTGCTGAATCTTCTTGGAAACTGATTGTCATTTTCTTGAGGAACCACCATACTGATTTTCAAAGTGGCTATAGGAGTTTGCACTCCCACTATCAGTGGAGGAGTGTTCCCTTTCTCCACATCCTCTCCAGCATAAACTATCATTGATATTTTTTTTTTATTTTAGCCATTCTGACAAGAGTAAGATGGTATCTCAGAGGTGTTTTGATTTGCAACTAGACCTATAACCCCTAATGAATTAGAAGCAGTCATCAAAAGTCTCCCAACCAGAAAAAGCTAAGGGCCAGATGGCTTCAGTACAGAATTCTACCAGAAATTCAAAGAAGAGCTAATACCAATACTCTTCAAATTGTTTCACACAATAGAAGCAGACGAGTCATTGCTAAACTCTTTTTATGATGCTACAATTACCTTAGTACTCAAGCCACACAAAGACACACTAAGAAAGAAAACTACAGACCAATATCCCTCATGAACACTGATGCAAAAGTACTCAACAAAATACTGGCAAATCAAATCCAAAAACACATCAAAAAAATCATCCACCATGACCAAGTAGTCTTCATCCTAGGGATGCAGGGATGGTTCAACATATGAAAATCTATCAATGTAATCTACCATATAAGCAAACTGAAAAAGAAAAACCATATGCTCATCTCATTAGATGCTGAAAAAAAACCTTTGGCAAAATCCAACACCCCTTTATGATAAATGTCTTGGAGAGATCAGGGATAACAGGAACATACCCAAATACAATAAAAGAAATATACAACAAAGCAACAACCAACATCAAATTGAATGGAGAGAAACTCAATGTGATTCTCTAAAATCAGGGACAAGACAAGGTTGTCCACTCTCTCCATATCTCTTCAATATTGCACTTGAAGTTCTAGCTAGAGCAATAAGACAACAAAAGGAGATCAATGGGATACAAATTGGAAAAGAAGAAGTCAAACTTCCACTATTTGCATATGATATGATAGCTTACATAAGTGACCCAAAACACTCTATCAGGGAACTCCTGCAGCTGATAAACACACCTTCAGCAAGGCGACAAGATATAAGATTAACTCAAAAAAAAATCAGTAACCCTACTATATACAGACCATACAGGGACTGGGAAAGAATTCAGAGAAACACCACCCTTCACAATAGACACAAACAACATAAAATATCTTGGGGCTAACACTAACCAAACAAGCGAAAGACCTGTATAGTAAGAACTTTTGGTCTCTCAAGAAAGAAATTAAAGAAGATACCAGAAAATGGAAATATCTCCCTTGCTCTTGGATAGGTAGAATAACCATAGTAAAAATCATAATCTTGCCAAAGGCAATCTAAAGATTCAATATAATCCCCATCAAAATCCCAGCTCAATTCTTCATAGATCTTGAAAGAACAATATTCAACTTCATATGAAAAACAAAAGACCCAGGATAGCCAAAACAACCCTGTACAATAAAGGAACTTCAGGAGGTATCACCATCCCTAACTTCAAGCTCTACTATAGAGCTATAGTCCTGAAAACAGCTTGGTATTGGCACAAAAATAGACAGGAAAACCAATGGAATGGAATTGAAAACCCTGATATTAATCCACATGCCTGTGAACACCTGATTTTTGACACAGCAGCTAAAAATATACAATGGAAAAAAGAAAGCAACTTTAACAAATGATGCTGGTACAACAGGGTGATGGTGTGTAGAAGACTACAGATAGAGCCATATCTATCACCATGTACAAAACTTAAATCCAAATGGACCAAAGACCTCAACGTAAATCCAACCACACTAAGTCTCTTAGATGAGAAAGTGGGAGGTACCCTTGAACAAACTGGTACAGGAGACCACTTCCTTAACATAACACCAGTAGCACAGACACTGAGATCAATAATTAATAAATGGGACCTCCTGAAACTGAGAAGCTTTTGTAAGGACACAGTCCACAAGACAAAATGGCAGCCCACAGAATGGGAAAAGATCTTCAGCAAACCTATATCTGACAGAGGGCTAATTTCCAAAATATACAAAGAACTCAAGAAGCTAGTCACCAAAACACCAAATAACCCAATTTAAAAAATGGGGTACAGAACTAAATAGAGAAATCTCAATGGAGGAATCTAAAATGGCTGAAAGACACTTAAGAAAGTGTTCAACATCCTTAGCCATCAGGGAAATCCATATCAAAACAAGGCTGAATTTCCTTATGAGAAACAATAGCAATAAATAGTTTTAACAAAATTGTAGTCAAGTATGATTGAATGATGGAGCTGTGTTCTGAAGGACACATTACTAAGTGATTTCATAGTAGTGGGTACATTTTAGTCTTCTTAACCAAGCAAATATGGCTACAGCGTCACCAGAAAATTTAATCTTAGGACTGCCTTTATCTGTCATTGATTGACACAGTGTGCATTCTACAAAGTGCATTGAGCAAAATGAGGGAAAATATGACATAGGAAAGTTAATGTCAAAAGTTCAGTACTTCAATCGATGTCAATTCTCTCTCATTTCTGGCCAGGTTAAAGAAGAAGTTGGTGACGTCACCATTCTCATTAATAATGCAGGTGTTGTTACAGGGAAGCCTTTCCTTGATATTCCAGATCACATGGTGGAAAGATCATTTCTTGTCAATGCCCTCTCTCATTTCTGGGTAAGTCTCTCTCTCTCATTTCTAGTAGTGTGTATAAAAATCCCAAGCAATGTTCAGTCATTTGTCTATAAATATAGCATCTGGTGGTTTCCTATTGACATCTGGTGTAAGTCCCATCCTCACCAGGCTCTTCTCTACCTAACAGGTATTAGTTTTTACTGGTTGCCTAACTCCAAATTCTTAGGGACATCTCTAAGTGTCTTTGGCTATAAAAGTGTTCTCTGTCTGCATCCTCATATGGTACCACTTGAAACTTGATTGGTGGGGATGAAGAGCTAAGTATCCCTCACTGATTCCATATTCTAGCCCTTTACTGTCTGTCAATATCTACAGAGTCAATTAAGCACTAACTGAAAATATTTAAAACAGGATGTTGTATCTGGCATGAACATGTATAAATACTTTCTCGCTATTATTACCTAAATAGTAGAGTATAAAAATAATATATAGATAACATTTATATTGAATTGTGCATTATAAATAACAGACGTTTAAATTTTCAAAAGGATAATTATACATAAATACTATACCATTCAAGGGTCCTTGAATTTTAGCATGGAGTCTAGTAACCAATATTCCTCAAGACCTGGTCAGACTCTACTCCTCCATGATCACTAGTTTGAGTTCAGTTTTAAGCAGTATAACTAAAAAACACTATTTTTATCTTTCAGTGTGACTTCAGCAATTAATCTTTTTGTCCATTAAAAGATAAGGTATATGCAACATTGAATTCACTGTCTCAATTAAAAGTTCCTTTAAAAAGTGAAAACTGTGCTTGATGACTCAATATTTATATTTACCTGTTCTGTGGTATCCAGCAGAGAAGACTGCTCAGACATGGGTTTCAACTAATACAAAGTCTATTGACTGGCCGCAACTACACTGGGTGTTCAGAATCCTGATGTAGCACCAAGCCTTTCTCAGAATGAGCTTTCAAGAACAAAAAAAAAAGTGTTCTGGGTTGACATGTTAACAATAACAATTAGCCAGATGTGTAACTACAGAAGCCCAAACGCAAGCTTAGTATGTTTAGAGATTTTCCCAGAACTCTGTGGACTTTGATGGATCAGGTCTTTTCATTTTGGCAGAGTGGAATTTCTATGAGACAGTCAGGTGTGCTAAAGTCTGGGAGCCTACTAAGGTCTGAGGTCTAGTCATAGTATGAATTTTTACTTCTTTTAAAATACTACGGTTGAGATTCTTATCTAATTACCCAACTAATATAACTTCTAAATCTTCAAGTCATTAAAGTTGACAGTTTGCATCCTGGTGATGCTAAAAGGTTGTCAAAAGAGGTTAAGCTTAACACTTGTACAAGATAATCCACATACTTAAGTCCAAACAATTCATAATGTTATCAGAAGTGCAACATGACCAACTTTGTTTTTAGTAGTAATCACTTTTTGTGTGAATGAATACATATTCCATGAAAACAGGAATAAGTTTTGAACCTATAAACCAGTATGGAAACACTTAGTAAGATCATTCAAAGAAAGCCTTAGCTAATGCAATAAAATAAAATCAAGTGAATTTGATGATTCTTTACATTACAACCTACATATGAAAAAATTGAGGAAAACATATAGCAGTTTATAAAACAATTTTGATTTGTTTATACATTTAATATAGATAATAAAATCTGTATCCAATATAATCTCTTATTAATTCCCTGTTATTAAAAATATTCCATGGGCTAAGGAGATAGCTCAGTGGGTAAAAGCACTTGCTTTCCAAGCATGGAAAGCAGAGACCCAGACCCTGCATAAATTCTGAGTAAGCCTGGCAGCCAGCCTCTAATCCTAGTACATGAGAGTCAGAGACAGGAGATCTCTGCAGCATGCTACTTAGCTATATAAATCAAATTGGTGAGCTCTGAGTTCAACGATGAGACTACCTCAATACGTTAGGCAGTGAGCAATCTCAAACGAAGCATAATATCAACCTCTAGTTCTATGTATATACAACACACAACACACATACACATGTACTTCTACACATGCACACACACACACATACCCCACACACATACACAAGCAGATACAAAGTTACTTCACAAAGTTAAAAAAAAAATTCCTCTTTAATGATTTAAGACAAATGATTGCTAAGTGAACACTTCTCTGTACTTTTTCTTTGCTTCAATAATACCCATATAAAGAGTATTGATTATATATTTCTATGATAAAGTTATCTTCAAAATATCCTCTAAAAAGCCTCTACCAATATGGGGACAGTCCCAAACAGGCTCTCCCATGGTACCCCTTCTTAATTACAGTTCTGCTTCTCAGTTTCTGTTAACCTTGCTCAACTACCATTTGAATATATAACATGGAACATTCTAGACTTAAGAGTACTTAAGCTTCAAATTATGTGCCTATTCTGAGTGGCATGGTAAGATCTTAGACATATAATTCTAACCCAGGGAGTCATTTCTTTTTCAATGTATCCAAAATATGTACCTTCCACCCACCCATCAATCACTTGGTCATCCTCTCAAGGACAACTCTATGGTACTACTCAGCTTGTGCTCAAGCAACTTTTATTTTACTAATAATATCCTCAAAGTACAAGGTTGGAGATGTTGTCAATTTTTATATGATAAAGAGAGGATGAAGCATTTCCTTTAGTAAGAAAAAAAATAATTTGTTAAAGTTGCTAGTATACATAATACACTAAGATATTTTGAGCAGAGAGATCACATTGATATAATTTTGTCAGGTACATTATTATAATTGTTCTGGCTTATTATTAGTCACTGTTATTTGTCTACTTGCTTAATTTATGAATTAAATTTTATTATAGGCATGTAGCTATGCATAGGGAAATATATCCCATACATATGCTTTAATATTCTCCAAGGTTTTGGCATTAATACAAGTCTGGAAATGCATCCTCTGTGGATAAGGGGTGAGGGCTCTTATAAATACCCAGCCTTTTTATCTTCAGCTGAAAATACAGAAAAAGAGCAGCAAATCCAACCGCAGCACAACATAAATCTCTGAAAATGATTGAACTTTTGAGAGTGGCTCACATTGTCCCACTGGTGGTTGGCTGCTTAGCATAAACATAAAACCCTCTCTCATTTACACCTGGGAGCTTTCTCTGCCTCGGTGCAGTGAGTTTCTACCTCCAAGTGGCGCTGACTCATACCTTCAACTCTTGTATTCACTTTCTTTTCTTGAAAATTGCATAAGCTTTCAGATATAAACTGGCGCCACAGTGAGACCTCGACCTGGGCCTCCAGACCGTGCATTTCACAGGATCTAGTGGATGGTCACATAGACAATACCTACAGAACTCAGAAGCTCCAAGCTTTTGAGCTGAATGACAATGACCAGCTCTTACCATTTCCAACCAATGTACAGTCATGACCAGTTTTTCATCATTTAAAGGGAAAGATGCCATAACCATAAGAAACAGCTAGCTCCTTTAGCTGCCACTGTTCGTGGACATGAAATGGGAAAAGAACACAATTGTCATTTACCATGCCGAGACTTGGACATTAGGTCAGCAGCCACAGAGCAAGGTTAAAGGAAAAACATGAAACCAAGATGCTGGCTCTGGTCCAGAGGCTTCTCTCTGTTAGGTGAGCACCTTTGGTTGCCCCTCAAAAACTTCAATGTGAAAAGAATACATTGGTAAAATCATGTCTCGTAGAAACTGTGGTGAACAGAAGATGTCAGGGTTTTACTTAACTCATGTCTGACTGAGCCAGCACAGAGTCAGCGCTGATAAAATGGTGCCATGAGAAACTCTGACTTACCTGGTGATGAAGGAGCGCAGAAATAAGATCTCTGAACTCACACCTGTATTGATCCTCAAGTGAGCTTGTTAGAAAATGTCCTAGTGAGATAGCTCAGTGGTTATGAATACTTGCTGCTTGCAGGAGATCTGGGGTTGGTTCCCAGTACCCACATCAGATAGCCTATTCCATAGGATCATATACCCATTTCTGTCCTTTGTGGACATCCATGTGCATGTGGTATACATACACACACTCAGTATACATGCACACTCACACTGTGCTGGTTGGTTTTTGTCAACTTGACCCAACCTAGACATATCTGGGAAGAGGAAATTTCAATAGGGACAATGTCCCATCAGATTGACCTGTGGATCATTTTCTTAAATAATCACTGATGTGGGAGGGCTCAGCCCACTGTGAATGACCAGTGCCACACCTTAGCAGGTAGCCCTGGGTTATATAAGAAAGCAGACAGAATGGGCTATTGGAAGCAAGCCCGAAGTAGCAATCATTCATGGCCTCTGTGCCAGTCTCAGCATCCAGGCTCCTGCCTTGAGTTCCTCCTCTTACTTCTTTCCCTATGGGCTATATATAGACTGTAAGAGTAAGTATCCCCCACAAGCTATGATTTTAGTCATAATGTTTATCACAGCAATAGAAAGTAAATGAGGACATTCATGGAGACAAACACTAAATACATACATACATGCATACATACATACATACATACATTTATACTACTTACGTACATACATACATACATTTATACATACATTTATACATACACAAGTTTTAGAAATCTTTTAAAGAAAATGTCCCGGCATACTATAAGTCTCTTCCTTATTCTCACGATTTTTACAAACTGCTTATGAATGAGGGCTAGAAAAAGGGAGTCTGTTATTGGGGTTGAGTAAAGAACGTGACACTTCCCTGACAGACTATATGAGGGAAAGAAAACAGTATTTTTGGCATGGGGACATTGCTTAAAGGTATATGAATGCAGCTTACCAAAACATACAAAATGAATGAAGTTTATCAAAGCATACCAAATAAATGTTTACTAACACATACCATGTTAGTCCTGGGAGTTCCAAAGCATCCTTATCAGCAGGTGCATAGCTTTCATTAAATTCATCTTCCTTTAGCAATTTCTTCCGTTTCTCCTAATTCCCGAAAGTAAAGTCTGAAAGGTAAGTATGATTGATTTTAATGCAAATTGTCAAAATTTTATAAAGAACTCAGACTACTTAAAAAAAATACTACAATTTATAGAAAACAGAGTGTAAAAATCTCATTTGGTTAAATTAGTAAAGTTTACTTCAAAAGAAAAAAGAAAACACATACCATTTCCTGTATCTGAGCCCATAATAAACTCCAACCACAGGAACAGAGCTCTATACTTCCTACTTTTGTGTATCCATAGAATTTAACACACCATGAGCATTAAATAAAACTTCACTAAGTGGATTAATAAGTTCATCAAGTGCTTTACCGAATACTGAAAATAATTAATTAATCGATTAATGTGTTTATATTTCCCAGACATGTAAGGCCTTCCTTCCTGCCATGATTAAGGCTGACCATGGTCACCTGGTCTGTATTTCAAGCATTGCAGGACTAGTGGGCACTAATAGTCTCTCAGGTGGGTATTTCCATTTACCACATATCCTTCTATTCCCCCAGAAGTGGGACCCTTCCAGAATGCAGAGTAGCTCTTCCTGCCCCAAACAGAACTCTAAAATATTCAACCCTCCTCATAAACCAAGTGCACTCCTCCTCACAATGGCAGACAGGGAAAGGTACTCTCCTTTTTAAAAACACATAAAAAATAGTGTGCACACACCTATTGGTTCGTTGGTATTCTTGGGTTAAGAGAAATAGAAATGATTTCAGTGTTTTTATTGGCTACACAGTGTGGACATACTCTGTCCTCAAGAACAAGCCAGAAAAAAGAAAAGAGGATTATTTTTAAATCATCATGACGAGTTCCCAAGCTGTATCACTGTGGCCTCTCACTGTATTTCAGATTATTCTTCAAGCAAATTTGCAGCCTTTGGCTTTGCCGAGTCCCTCTTCATTGAATTAGCTATGCTAAAAAAATCTAAAGTTAAAAGCACCATCGTTTGCCCGTATTTCATCAAAACTGGAATGTTTGAAGGTTGTGCAACCAAGTAAGTGAATTTTTTCAGCAATCTTTTGTTTTACATAATATTAAGAAATAACAGAAGTTGGCAATGAGAATTTTTGCTTCCTACATAATATATGGAGTTATAGATAAAATGTTTTTAAATGTTTGGTAATATAGACAAATATAAATGTTTGTTTATATGAAGAGAAAATTTATCTAGAATAATTAGAACTAGAATGCTAATACAGCATGGAGACTTTTGCACAGTGAACAGTGGACAACAATGACCTTAACGTGAGGACTGGGCAGTTGTGATGATTGTTGGAAAATGAAACTGACACGGTGACACATGAGTCATCTGTGTCCAGAGGAAGACAGAGGGCCAGCAAAAAGACCATGAGGATACTGAATCCACTGAAGCTATAAAATTAAGTTAGAAACTCCAAAGCCCATGGCAAAGCATTGTTTAAATGGACAAGGGCAGGGGAAGCGTTGACCTCAAGGTTGTTTACCAAGGTGCTGAAAATCATAGGACAATCATTTAAAATGTCTAAGGACAGATCAAAGAACTTACTGCAGTTGAGAAAGCTGTTCAAAGAATATCTCAAAATCCCATAATAAACCTGACAGACCATGGCATTAGGAGCTCCATACTGCACCAGTCTGTGTGAATTAGTTGGTGAAAAACAAGGACCCACATGCCCTACTCCATAGCCAAGATTCTACCACTGAAGGCCAAAGACAATCTCAAAAAAGGGCATCTTTTTCTCTGTGGACCTGGCTTCAGTTAGATGAGATCACTGATTAGAATGTTTTTTAGGACTAGCACAACCACATAGCAACTTTTGGAGCTGGATGTGATAGGATAGCTGCTGACCAACCAGGAAGTTGACTAGGAAAGTCTGCTGGCTGAGGGCTAGGAAGATGACTCCAGGAGTAAAGGACTTGCTGCAATAAAATGAGGAAGATAGTTCAGGTCCCTATAGCACCCATATACACAGCCAGGGCAACAGCATGTACCCGCAACTCCAGTGTTAGAAAACTGGATCCTGGGGGCTTGCTAGCCAGCCTGTTCAGTGAGAGATCATATCTCAGAACAATAAGTAAGATTGAAAGGCAATTGAGAAGTACATCTTGATGTCATCCTTTGCCTTCCACATGCTCCCAGTTGTGTGCATATGTGTATGTGTGCATGTGTGTGTAATATATATATAATATATATGTATATATTTTATATATATATACAGGCATGAACATATGCACAGACACAAATATAGACATATACACATATGTACATACATACAAGCACAAATACACACATATGAAAACATGCGCTAATGCACACATGTACACAAACATGCACAAACACATATGTACACACACATTCACACATATACCCATACACACACACAGGTATAAACATACATATTATACAAAAAAGATTTTGGTTAAAACCATAGCCATCAGTGATATCTGACAGCTAGTAACACTTTATTATACTTTGTTATACCTGAGACTACATCCTCTGAAAAAATAAAATGACATCAAAATCACATATTGGCAGCATTCAGTCAGAAAAGGTAGACTTTGCTGAACTAGTCAATAAAGCCATTAAATAAACATACCAACAAGCATATGTACAACAGGCCCCACCGGAGAGCAATGCCCCATGCCATTGACATGTCTGGGGTGTTGCTTCATTTATTTGTCTGTTTGCGGCAGAATCCCAGGATATAGTTCATGCCAGCCAGAACTAGTTTGTGCAGCCCATACTAACGTTGAACTTGTGACCCTCTTGCCTCCGATTGCAACGGCTATGATTATAGGTGTGTGCCACACTATGCTCAGCCAGCAACACTCACCCTCACTTAATCAGTGAATCATTGAATATCCAGGACACCCAGCTGACCTGTCTTATGTGACTGGGACAGAGGATATGGAGGCTGTGTAGCCCACCCAGCCATTCCCTAGGCATGAACATGATATGTGACCAATATGATATTGGTGATATGTGGTTTACACAGCCACGGACAGCAGGGAGGACAACTCTGTTAGTATGATGTATGAAGTGGAGATCAAAACTGAGTGATTTCTGGTTGTGTCTGTTACCTTGATAAAGACACACTCATCTTAGCAGCATGGAAAAATCTGAATCACTCTTCACACAGCCATGCCATTCCTTTGCCATTTGTTTCTGGACTATCTACATCTGCATCTAATGATGGCTTCAGGAAAAGGCTTAGCTAGTGTTGTCACTAGAACAGTGTCAGAAACTGCTCAAAATATGGACTAGGGGGCACACAGACATCTTTATTGGGTTCTGTAGATGAACAAATCACAAAAATCATGACCCTCGTTTTGAAAGTCTTTATACTGCCAAACTTTCTGAAATTATTGTACAGCAGCTTCAGAAGAAACACCGCTGAGTGTTGCTTATAATGAAGGAATGACGAAAGTCAGGTTTCATTGTGACATCACAGAGAGCTTGAATTTGCCACCACTGTGATCAGCCACTGACTTTGGAAGGAGGTCTGGTATTTTGGAAGGCAGGTCATCCCCACCGAGTCCTTCTCTTTTATCCCTGTAGGGACAACTGGGAGAAAATATCAGAAATTTGGGGAATCAGGACAGAATTGGGAATAGCAAGTAAATCACCCTCCTGTAGTGTTTAAACGCTGGTTTATGGTTAAGCTTTGAAGAGTCTACTCAGGGGCATAAAAGGCAGCAAATGCAATTGTTACATGGTACCAGAACAGAGTGACTCTTTTCTCAAGACAGTTTAAACATACAAGAGACTCTACCCGCCAAAAGAGGAGCTGAATTCAGTTAAGTGTCAAGGGATTTCTGGTGACTGCCCTTCCAAGTATAAGAAAGATGAAAGATTAAAACACTAATTATTTCTTTATGTATAAAATGAGTATTTTTTAAAAACAAAAATAGTGGATTTTCATCAACTGTTTACCCAGGATTCCTCAACAACTGCAGGTCACTCCAGTTAAAATTGAAGATGTTTTTAGAATTGTTTGCTAAAATGGACCGGTTTCTAAACAAAGTAATAGTGATGTTATTAGGGAACCAATAAATGGATCTTTTAAACAAAATAAGGACAAACAATACATATGTCCATTCAATTCCAAATATTGGTTATGAGATGTACCTTCTACAATATCTTCATATCTAAACCTCTTTGTTATTATTCAATAAAGTCTTAATCATGTTGGTAGACACCATAGAAACTTCCTATAACCTCAGTGAGCTCCAAGAAAAATAAACATGTGGTGTTCCATACACGAATATGGATGGTCAAAATACTGAAAGACAAATAAAAGAATCTTTATTATTATTATTATTTCTTATTTTACATCCCAGTTCCCTCTCCCTCCCATCCCATTCCTCCACACACTCCACAGGGAAGGTAAGGCCTTCCAAGAGGGATCATCAAAATCTGTCAAGTCATTGGGAGTATGGTCTAGGCCTTCCGTCCTGTCTGTAGGCTAAGGAAGTATTGCTCCATGGGGAATATGCTCCCAGTGTCCTTTCATGCACCAGAGATACATCCTGGATCCACTGTCAGAGGTCCCATAGACTGCCCAGGTCTTCTTACAGAGACCCATGTTCAGGGGGTCTGAGCTCCCCATTGTTCAGGTCAGCTGTCTCTGTGGGTTTCCATAGCCTGGTCTTGAACCCTTTGCTTATCACTCCTCCCTCTCTGCAACTGGATTCCAGGAGTTTGGCTCAGTGTTTAGCAGTGGGTGTCTGCTTCTGTTTCCAACAGCTACTAGTTGAAGGTTCTAGAATGGCATATAAGTTAGTAATCAATCTCATTATCAGGGAAGAACATTTAAGGTAGCCTCTCCACAGTTGTTCACATTGTTAGTTAAGGTCATCATTGTAGGTCTCTGGCCATTTCTCTAGAGTCAGTTTTCTCTTCAAGCCTATAATAGCTCCCTCTATTATGGTATCTCTTTGCTTTCTCTCATCTACACGTCTCCCAACTCAATCTTCCCGGTTCCACAAGTACTCCTCTCCTCCCATTCTCTTTCTCCTAACTCACTCTCCACTCAATGAATGACCTTCCCACTCCCAATATGCTCAGGAGATCATGGCACTTTCCCCTTCTATAAGGGACCTTATATGAATCTCTTAGAATCCTCCTTGTATCCTAGTTTCTCTGGCGATGCGAATCATACACTAGTGATCCTTTGCACTGTTTCTAAAATCCATGTATGAGTGAGGACATACCATGTTCCTCTTTTTGTGACTGTGTCATCTCACTCAGGATAGTTTCTTCAAGTTCCATCCATTTGCCTGAGAATTTCAAGATTGCATTTCTTTTTTTTTTCCCCCGCTGAGTAGTATTCCATTTGTAAATATATCATATCTTCTTTATCCATTCTTCAGTTGAGAGGCATACAGGTTGCTTCCAGATTCTTGCTATTACAAATAATGCTGCTATGAACATAGTTGAGCAGATGTCTTTGTTGTATGGATGTGGATCATTTGAGTATAAACCTAAGAGTGGAATTGCCGAGTTCTGTGGTAGACCAATTCCCATTTGCCTGAGGAACCTCCATACTGATTCCCAAAGTGGCTGTACAAGTTTGCACTCCGACCAGCAGGGGAGGAGTGTTCCCCTTTCTCCACATCCTCTCCAGCATAAGCTGTCAATGGTGTTTCTGATTTTAGCCATTCTGGCAGGAGTACGATGATATCTCAGAGTTGTTTTGATTTTCATTTCCCTGATGGCAAAGGATGTTGAGCACTTTCTTAAGTAAGTGTCTTTCAGCCATTTTGGGTTCCTCTCTTGAGAATTCTCTATTCAGTTCTGTACCCCACTTTTGAATAGGATTATTTGGTGTTTTGGTGACTAATTTCTGGAGATCTTTGCATATTTTGGTTATCAGCCCTCTGTCAGATGTGGGGTTGGTGAAGATCTTTTCCCAGTCTGTGGGCTGCCGTTTGGTCTTGTCCAAATGTCCTTTGCCTTACAGGAGCTTCTCAGTTTCAGAAGGTCCCATTTATTAATTGTCATTCTCAGCGTCT